AGTGTGGGGGGGGGGGGATTCCTAGAGACATCAGTAGTATAGGTATCAGTGATACTCGCCTTCAGTCACAAAAAGATGCCATTAAACAAATATTTAAAAATATACTGTCTTTGTTGTTTCTACATTAATTTGAATGTGAATGTATTGCAATATAAAAGTATGTTTAAAAACTTTAATGATAGATGGGATTAATTTTCAGAAAAAAAAATGTATTAATTAGTTATTTTATTTAATCGATTGGCAGCACTAACATCAATATTTCAAAAAGTAATAAAGCTAGATTACCACATAGTGTTAAGTGTCTAGCCAGCTGTGCTTCAGTCTCATATCTTTTGTTGTTTCCAGGTACAGAGCGGTAATTGAAGCATGTTCTCTCCAGCCGGACATTGACATCCTGCCCCAGGGGGACCAGACGGAGATCGGAGAACGGGTCAGTGTGCCGCCCATGTGACTTTTGTGACGCATTTCATTACCAGCCATCTGGAATGGCTTTAGTACAGCAAATGACAAAGTTTCAGTTATGATGGGTCATATTGAATTCCACTGATAAACATGCATATTTCCTCATATTTTAGTATCCAGGCAGCCTTTAACAGGGAACCATCTCTTTTGTTTACTCTCATTCATTCAGGTTTTTAGTTCAGGTCACATTTAAGGCAGCCTGATGTCGTAAATGGCTTTCAGGTTGTTCCTAAAAGCAGCCTTCCACCTCATTTAAAGAGTTTCAGCCCAGTCAACATGATTAATCCACATGCCATATGTGTGGTACAGTTACCATAACAACTTCTACCCCCTGCCACCTTCCTAATGAGGTATTTTCTCAATACAGCCCTGCCAGTAACTTTCCTCTTCCTATTCTTTGCTCTTTCCAGGGCATTATTCTTTCCGGAGGCCAGAGGCAGCGAATCGGTGTAGCTCGAGCTCTTTATCAAACCACCAATGTGGTGTTCCTGGTAGGTCCAGATATGGCTATACACACAAATCAGTGAAGTGAGACTTCAATTAATTTTTTCTGTTATCGTAGGATGATCCCTTCTCAGCGCTGGACATTCACCTGAGTGATCACCTGATGCAGGAGGGTATTCTTAAACTGTTGAGGGAGGAGAAGAGGACGGTGGTGCTTGTGACACACAAACTGCAGTATCTCCCACACGCAGATTGGGTACTTCATATGCAAATACACTTAAAGTTCTCCCCTATAGAAAGTCATTAAACCCGTTTTGATAAGTAGATCCGGTTTTAAACTGCTCTTAGGCAGAATTATTGAATAGGTGAGCTCTGAGATGTAGAAGCTTAATTTAAAAGTCAGATCTCACAAAGGCTGAGCTATGCTTATGAATTATTCACCTTCATTCATCACCTGTCAACTACCCGCAGAACCTATAGAAATAATTTCTGAGGAGCCCTTAGAAATGATTTTTGTAGAAACTTATTTTATTTATAGCCCAATACAAGCCTGTTGCAAAGGATGAATTAATTTTGTTTCTGTCACGTTTTCACCTGCACATCCTACTAACACAATTCATTATAAATCACATTGAGGAAAATAGACCATCTGGTTCACAGAGAAAAATCTAATTAAATCCCCATTTGGCCACTGTTTGCGATGAGAGAAATCAAACTGCAGACCAGACCAAAGCCATTCAACCTGAATAAGGCCACTGCTGGTTTAGAATCAGCAAATCATTCTCTTCTTCTTCCTAACCTGATTTTGTCTCTCAGGAAACACTTATTACACTGCATCAAACACCTACATTTTAAGCTCAGTAGCAGGAAACAGTACTTAGATATGAGAACTGAGACATTACATTTTTGCATTACTTCTAATAAACGTAACTAAATAGGTTACTTTCGATTAAAGGAATGTGATTCAGTTTTTTTATATACATTTTCTCACTTCCAGAATGGAAGCAGTGTGTTTGACTTGAAGAGATTTTACTTTTAAAAGAATATTGCAGGTTCAGTGCAAGTTAAACTTTTGTTGCATATGTTGATAACCACACACACAAAAAAAACTTTCTGGAATACTTTGTGCTCACCAACATGCCACAAGTGTGGTCGATTGTGATTACTATGTAAATAACCTGGGATATTCCTTTATTCAAAATAAAAAAATAAATTCTAAGTACCTTAGAATCTACATTAGAAATGGATACAATTGATATCAGAATGTGAGAATTAAGCTTATTTTCATTACCTCAAGATATGTAAATATCTGAAAACATCTTTATATTGTACTCAGTAAATCGGAGTCTGGTTTAGATACGTTTACTTGAAAAGAAGACAATGTTTATTGTGGAAATGTTTATTTCCTAGATGTCATTTGCCTGCAACCATTTCTTTAGTTAATTAAAAAAGAAATATGCATAGTTCCAAATGCTTTGACCCAACATATCTAACCAGAGAAAGCATTTTCATGAAACATATTACAATTCTCAAATTGATTTGTTGTTGTCATTAGCCTTGTTATTAGAAACAAATGAAGCCCCAGTCTCTCTCACACTGGCTCGGGGTGATGAATTGCCTTGTTAAAGTTTTCCTTCTTCTGGTACTTAATAAATCACCAGTGGTGAGAAAATATATATATATATATTTATTTTTTAACTCCCTGTAATTTAGACACAGCCACTTTAAGCTGACAGATAGAAAGGGACAGGCTTGCTGTTAAATATTGGCTTTACTTCTCATGGGGCATTAAAAATGTCCACCTTCTTTTATGTGGCAAGTGAAGTAATAATTGAATTATGTTTCCTCTGTAGATCATTGCAATGAAGGATGGCAGCATACAGACAGAAGGGACATTAAAGGACATCCAAAATTCTCAGCCTGAGCTGTTCGAGCAGTGGAAGACTCTGATGCACAGACAAGATAAAGAATTTGAGAAGGTAGTCTGCAGAAAATTAATGAGATACTAGAGGATGTGATTTAAATGTCAAGTTCATTTGTTTTGCTTTGCAATGCCAAATACTCACTTGACCTTTTTGTTGACATTTGTTTGCATTGTTTGAAAGATTGGAAAACTAATCTCTATGTTTATGCTGAAAAAAATATAAGCTTGGCAATCAAAAAGACAGGATACAGTGGATGCACTGAGAAGAGAAAGCATTTAAATAGGGACTTAAGTAGACAAAACAGTGACTGTAATAAACTCATGTCTCCAAACAAGTGTCTAATATGCCATCTAGTGGCCTACACAGCTGCCAGTCAGGTCGTTGAACTGTATTTTTGTGTTCAAAAATACATTTAAGCAACAGGACTTTGAACAACACTGAAATACCTCAAAGAACTGTGTTGGGCCCCTTCCTGTTCATCTTCTACATTACATATCTTACAGCATTTGATCCTAAACTACCTGCAGATGTTCTCAGGTGACCCCTTCATTTTAGACTCTCAACATGTGCAGGAGGATGTAAGGATGTTCTTGCAAAACAGGTCATCTCAAGTTACGATTATTCAGTGTACCTTTTCAGAAACCCAAATACTCAGGGAAAGAATTGGAAACTAATCATAGAAACATAATACAATTATATAAAGAAAGTTAAATTTGATTTATGCTGCTTAATTAGCCAAATATGCTAATCGGAATACCCTGTTATTCATTATTTTGTGTTCCAGGAGACAGTAGATGAGAATATGACAGTTCTGGAACGAAAAAATTTGAGGCGAGCCATGTACTCTAGAGAGGCTTTGAAGACTGAGGAGGAAGAAGAAGGTAAGAGTGGATAAACATGCAGCAAAACACTAATACAAGTGTTTTAGCAGAGTTTTTATTACATGCTCATCTGATATAATAACAGATTTTTCCTGAAAGCTCCCTGCAATTAAAGAGCAATAGGTTGTTGCACTATTAACTATGCAAGCCCCTACAAGGCATCCTCATAAATCTTCATTAAAGACCTGGGTGACAAGAGAGTAGTACAACGTCTTGTTTCTTTTTGCAGTTTTTTGCTGACTGCAGCATTTAAAAAAGCCAATTATCTGATTGCTACACCCTCTGCAAGTCCTGATGCCAAGATGTTTGGATGCCCACCCTCACCACCTGTCAGGAAGCTCAGGATTCACTGACAGATGGCTGAGGTCCCTGGAGTTGGTGGAAAGCCTAGACTGAGCATTGTAATGAATCTGTAATTAAGAAATATGATCCTTCCAAGTGGAACAGGGCAACATATTGGCATCATCCAGAGGTCTCTGCATGCAACAAGCAAATTGCAATTGGTATAGAGCAGAGGTAGCCAACCCTGCTTCTGGAGGGCTACCTTCCTGCAGACTCCAGTTACAGCCCTGCTCCAACACACCTGTCTGTAATCTTTCAGTAATCCTGAACACCTTAATTAGCTGGTTTAGTTATTTTTGATTAAGGATGGAGCTAAACTCTTTAAAATAGTTGGCTACCCCGGTATAGAGTAAAGGACCATAGTTGTTTAAGCTTTATATTTTTGTCAAGTTTGGTAACTTGCTCTTGCTGCTTTCTTGATGTTCACCTTCCCAAATCAACTCCTTACTACAGGGGTAACCCTGTAATTGTAACCCTGGAGAGAAACTGTCCTGCAGAGTTTAGCTCCAACCCTAATTCTGTCATGACAACTCTCGGAGGGATTGGCATGGTAATGTACATGACAATGTTAATGTATTTGGTCTTGGCGGAATAGATCTGCTGCTTCTGCGGCAGAGCAAGTAACGAGACTTGCTACTGCCAATACATCCACAACATGCTGCTGTGAGCATGTAAGAAATATTGCTGCTGCAAATATAACATACATGAAATAACCCCCCACAAAGCAGGAGACATAGAAGGGACAATACAAGCCAAAACAAGAACAAAACACCCCCCAACAAGCAGATCTATCGCCAAGACGTATGTACTGCTGCTGCTCCGAAGAGCCATGTGAACCATGTATTACTATCTATGTGTGCCTTGGCTATCACGCAGACTGGCTTAACCCTAGTGGCCTATGCCTATGTGAGCCTTGGCTACCACGCTGACCGGCTTAACATTAGTGGCCTATGCCTATGTGAGCCTTGGCTACCACGCTGACCGGCTTAACATTAGTGGCCTATGCCTATGTGAGCCTTGGCTACCACGCTGACCGGCTTAACATTAGTGGCCTATGCCTATGTGAGCCTTGGCTACCACGCTGACCGGCTTAAAGTGGAAGACTCTGATGCACAGACAAGATAAAGAATTTGAGAAGGTAGTCTGCAGAAAATTAATGAGATACTAGAGGATGTGATTTAAATGTCAAGTTCATTTGTTTTGCTTTGCAATGCCAAATACTCACTTGACCTTTTTGTTGACATTTGTTTGCATTGTTTGAAAGATTGGAAAACTAATCTCTATGTTTATGCTGAAAAAAATATAAGCTTGGCAATCAAAAAGACAGGATACAGTGGATGCACTGAGAAGAGAAAGCATTTAAATAGGGACTTAAGTAGACAAAACAGTGACTGTAATAAACTCATGTCTCCAAACAAGTGTCTAATATGCCATCTAGTGGCCTACACAGCTGCCAGTCAGGTCGTTGAACTGTATTTTTGTGTTCAAAAATACATTTAAGCAACAGGACTTTGAACAACACTGAAATACCTCAAAGAACTGTGTTGGGCCCCTTCCTGTTCATCTTCTACATTACATATCTTACAGCATTTGATCCTAAACTACCTGCAGATGTTCTCAGGTGACCCCTTCATTTTAGACTCTCAACATGTGCAGGAGGATGTAAGGATGTTCTTGCAAAACAGGTCATCTCAAGTTACGATTATTCAGTGTACCTTTTCAGAAACCCAAATACTCAGGGAAAGAATTGGAAACTAATCATAGAAACATAATACAATTATATAAAGAAAGTTAAATTTGATTTATGCTGCTTAATTAGCCAAATATGCTAATCGGAATACCCTGTTATTCATTATTTTGTGTTCCAGGAGACAGTAGATGAGAATATGACAGTTCTGGAACGAAAAAATTTGAGGCGAGCCATGTACTCTAGAGAGGCTTTGAAGACTGAGGAGGAAGAAGAAGGTAAGAGTGGATAAACATGCAGCAAAACACTAATACAAGTGTTTTAGCAGAGTTTTTATTACATGCTCATCTGATATAATAACAGATTTTTCCTGAAAGCTCCCTGCAATTAAAGAGCAATAGGTTGTTGCACTATTAACTATGCAAGCCCCTACAAGGCATCCTCATAAATCTTCATTAAAGACCTGGGTGACAAGAGAGTAGTACAACGTCTTGTTTCTTTTTGCAGTTTTTTGCTGACTGCAGCATTTAAAAAAGCCAATTATCTGATTGCTACACCCTCTGCAAGTCCTGATGCCAAGATGTTTGGATGCCCACCCTCACCACCTGTCAGGAAGCTCAGGATTCACTGACAGATGGCTGAGGTCCCTGGAGTTGGTGGAAAGCCTAGACTGAGCATTGTAATGAATCTGTAATTAAGAAATATGATCCTTCCAAGTGGAACAGGGCAACATATTGGCATCATCCAGAGGTCTCTGCATGCAACAAGCAAATTGCAATTGGTATAGAGCAGAGGTAGCCAACCCTGCTTCTGGAGGGCTACCTTCCTGCAGACTCCAGTTACAGCCCTGCTCCAACACACCTGTCTGTAATCTTTCAGTAATCCTGAACACCTTAATTAGCTGGTTTAGTTATTTTTGATTAAGGATGGAGCTAAACTCTTTAAAATAGTTGGCTACCCCGGTATAGAGTAAAGGACCATAGTTGTTTAAGCTTTATATTTTTGTCAAGTTTGGTAACTTGCTCTTGCTGCTTTCTTGATGTTCACCTTCCCAGATCAACTCCTTACTACAGGGGTAACCCTGTAATTGTAACCCTGGAGAGAAACTGTCCTGCAGAGTTTAGCTCCAACCCTAATTCTGTCATGACAACTCTCGGAGGGATTGGCATGGTAATGTACATGACAATGTTAATGTATTTGGTCTTGGCGGAATAGATCTGCTGCTTCTGCGGCAGAGCAAGTAACGAGACTTGCTACTGCCAATACATCCACAACATGCTGCTGTGAGCATGTAAGAAATATTGCTGCTGCAAATATAACATACATGAAATAACCCCCCACAAAGCAGGAGACATAGAAGGGACAATACAAGCCAAAACAAGAACAAAACACCCCCCAACAAGCAGATCTATCGCCAAGACGTATGTACTGCTGCTGCTCCGAAGAGCCATGTGAACCATGTATTACTATCTATGTGTGCCTTGGCTATCACGCAGACTGGCTTAACCCTAGTGGCCTATGCCTATGTGAGCCTTGGCTACCACGCTGACCGGCTTAACATTAGTGGCCTATGCCTATGTGAGCCTTGGCTACCACGCTGACCGGCTTAATATTAGTGGCCTATGACTATGTGAGCCTTGGCTACCACGCCGACCAGCTTAACAAAGTGGGATATGACTATGTGAGCCTGGGCTACGCCGACTGGCTTAACTCTAATTAGATGTGCACTGTGTGTAATGTTTAATTAACAAAATGGATATCTATCGTTGCAATCCGATAGATAAGGAAAGTGAAAGTGACGTGACATGTGGCCAAGTATGGTGATCCATACTCAGAATTAGTGCTCTGCTTTTATCCCATCCAAAGTGCACACACACAGCAGTGAACACACACCCGGAACAGTGGGCAGCCATTTTTTTGCTGCGGCGCCCGGGGAGCAGTTGGGGGTTCGGTGCCTTGCTCAAGGGCACCTCAGTCGTGGTATTGAAGGTGGGAGAGAGCGCTGTACATTCACTCCCCCCACCTACAATCCCTGCCGGTACGAGACTCGAACCCGCAACCGCAACCGCGTTACGAGTCCGACTCTCTAACCATTAGGCCACGACTTCCCCAGCACCCACCTGAGAAAATATCATAATTTAGTCATTTGATAACTGCTGTTACTTTCTCCACTTCATCAGTCCCAGCGGTAGCATAACAGCTTGTTAATTCATGTTCGTGCAATGATGAGACGGACAAAGTTAGCCGATGCATGCCATTTTACTCTCTCATGCAGATAGAGTTGTCAAAGTTACAGTGCACAAAAACCCCTGAGTGGACTGACCTGAATGAACTGAAATAAAAGCAGAATATAAATGTTCTTTCTCCGTTTTCTGAATTACACAGCACAGCGAGAGCACATGTAGCACGACCACATTTCTCCGATCTACACTACCCATAATGCATTTCACATCGGACTAACTGTTACAGCAGTAGATAGTGATCTTCAGCGTCTCCCGCAACACTGTCATTGATATTACTGCGATAAGCACGTGCTTCTGACGCTGTGTGCAGCTGAAATCAACCACACACTCATCACAATGAAAACATCGACCTTAGAAATAACGAATGTGAACACTGGGATAATCACAGATGTATATGGAGAACCCCAGTTGAAATGCATACACAAGAATGCTTATTTCACTTAATCTGTTTCATGTCCATTACTATAGGCGTGTCCTCAGAGCGATTACATATGCTCTAAACTGCGCTTTGCTCCGACTGTATAAACACAGCTGCTAAATGTTGCTGCTAATATGCTTAATATTCGCTCCTGCATACAATGCAAAACTGCTAACATGACATTTAGTTTAAACTTGATTATGGTTGCTAATTTTTTTATTCAATTATGCAGACCACGCAATACACAGCGAGATGGATTAGAAGAGCATTCACTTATCTTAGATGTTGATTTCATTGTTCTGAAGCAAGTTGCAACTGCTACGGCAAGCACTAGACATATATTTGAATGTTGAGCATTGGCTACCAATACAGGAGAGAACCAATCAGCTGTGCCATGTGATAATGATGTCATTAGGTCAGATTGAGTTGGACCTATCGGACTGTGCAATCTAGAGTTTCATGCCAGAACTCTGCATTTAAACACACACACGAACTAATCAAGGTCTTCAGGACCTCTGCTAGAAACTTTCAGCCAGGTGTGCTTGAGCAGGTTGGAACTAAACTCTGCAGGACATTGGCACTTGTAGGAAACCCAGAAACGAAGACAAGGAGACTCTTGGTGTATCTTTAGCCGGATTCTTTTTTTTTTTTTTTTTTTTACAATGTCCTGTGTGGCACTGCAGTCACAAGTCTAAGGCAGGAATGCATTGTATTTCATAGGCATTCAGTGGCCTTACACAAGCCTCAGAAGGGACCACTTAACCAAAACATCTAAAGACAATATAGGAAATCACCCCCTTAGTTTTCCATGTGATGTTATGTCAGGTTGTAGGATTAGCAGTTCTTAAACAGATTCTTACATTTGTAATCCAACACCCCCCAGGAGCAACATTGGACACCCCTGCCTTACTATGTAAATAGAAATCCTGAGAACACTGTAGCTTACATGCTTGTGTGAGAAAATCATTCTCAACTACAGCACAAGAATAAAAAACACTAAAATAAAGCACACCAAATGCACATTACTTACAAGTTTGTAGTTGATCATTTGTAAGTAGGAACTTCACAGGTGGATTTGAAGATAGATTATAAAGGCTGTAATTCAGGGGTGTCTAAACATGATCCTGGAGGGCCACTCTCCAGCAGAGGTTAGCTCCAACTCTAATCAAACACACTTGAACCAGCTAAACAAGGTCTTCAGGATCACTAGAAGCTTGCAGGCAGGTGAACTGGAGTTAAACTCTTTAGGAAAGTGGCCCTCTGGAATTAGGATTGGAACCCCTGCTGTAAAGCATTAGTCTGCAGGATAATGCTAGTGCCACTAGATTCAGTACATCGAAGAGATCCTGTTTTCATAGTGGGAAATAATGATTTACAGTAATGGAGTATTCTCTAGATCAGTGGTTCTCAATTACAGTGCTCACGTACCACCGCTCTGCACATTTTGTATGCATCTCTTATCACTTCAGACGTTTGTTCTATTCGACTATAAGTGCCCTGCGAAGTGGACATCACAGAATATTGCGCCATGATTCCAGTTCGAAGGGAGCGTATATGTTACAGTGTGCGAGACATGAATTTAAATTTTATTTATTTACAGAGGTATATTATGTCACACTTCTCTAGTAAGTTTCGTCTGTGTGTGATGACGCTGCAGGCCGTGGCGTAGCGCAAATCCATGAATGGATGTTCCTTCAAGTAAACTTCAACTGATTTCCCGTGCTCAGGGAGTAGGGAGCAATGAACGCTGTATAGGGACCATTTCAATCAGAACACAGTACATGCATGGAGGTCTTTTCTAACGAGCTGGCTATCTGAATCAGGTGTGTTAAATAAGAGAGACATGCAAAATATGCAGAGCGGTGGTACACGAGGACTGGAATTGAGAACCACTGCTCTAGATGGCAGATATAGCCTGAGCGCCAGTCATGTGGCAGTTGGCCAAATTTCAGTATAATCCAGTAGTGAATCTATATTGAAAGGTTGGCCTTCTCACTGCAGTAACCTACAAAACAATAGACTCCATGCTTTTCTTGAAAAAGTGACCAGAAACTCTTCCAGAAGTGTCACATCACACGTTGTGTTCTCTGTGAAATCATCGTTTTACTATCCTTTGAATACAACCAAGGGTTCAGGGTTTGGTTGGTTAGCTTTAACTGCCATTAAGAGTAGCAGATAGTTTTCTCCAGGTGTCACTTCAATTTTTTTTTTCTCGCTGAACATTGTTTTGTATTTTAGTTGTGGTGTGGGAGAGAGAGCAAAAGCATTTATCATCTGCTGACGGTACAGACCAAGCTGGAATGAATAATGAATGTGGGGATGGTCTCGTCAGCATTGAGATTGTACTGAGTTCTTAAACCATAATGGGTTGTAGCACGTTTTTTCCCTTCATGACGGCTAATGTGCTGTGCTAGTAAATGCTCTTCTACCAGCCTAAACTTGATATATATATATACACACAGTATCACTGCTCTGGCACTCAAGGGTATTCCTAGCATGGTCCAAGTGTTACATGCCTGTGGGCTTTGCAGCCTGTTTATTGCTTTTTATATCTCTCCCCTGTTTGCCATCCACCAACACTTGTGTTTTTAAAATGCCAGCATGATGCTGCTTTTTAAATTTGGAGCAGCAAGTGGGGAGCACTCTCTACAGTTCAAGTCTACATTTGTACTGTGGACAAGGATCTTTTTGTATGAATGTCAGAAGAGATAAGTTGTCAAATGATCTATCTTGTATGTCTGTCTGTTCATCTGTCTATCTTGGACAAGACAAGTTGTCACGTGTTTTGTATGCTACACAATTCAATATCTATCTATCGATCCATATTTTTGTTTTCCTTTCATGCATATAGAACAGTCCGTGGAGAGCGATGAAGAAGATAACCTATCTCAAGTGATGAGGCACAGAGCCACCATCCCATGGAAATCCTGCGGGACATACCTGAGCTCAGCAGGCCTCCTCCTGCTTCTCTTGCTCCTGCTGTCCCAACTCCTCAAACACTCCCTATTGGTGGGCATCGACTACTGGCTCGCTTACTGGACGTCCAAAGTCATCACAGCCAAAAAAACCATTGCAGCCACACACAACAGCTCCCTAGTGCAGGTAAAGATAGATGGTGATGTGAACCTGATGTTTACACTTTCTGAAGAATGCTGTATGATTGCATAAGTGTTCTGGGTACTTAATAGGTGTCTCTATGATTTTCTGGTCAAATTTGTCCAAAAGTGAATGTCTGAGACCTGCCTTTGAGACCTACTTTGTAAAGTGCCCCCTTGAATGATTGAGGCTCGGAGTGTAAAAGATTTACATAATTTATGGTTTGCACCTGCTGAAGTGGCACAGTTCCTCAACCTCTGACAACTTAGATGCATGATTTCATTGGCTGCTTATGTTGATTATTAAAATTCTCCATGACAAATATACCAGATTTGTAATGTCCTACAGGTGAGATTACAAGACAAGAGAGAAGGTGTTAAGAGCCAGAATCAGACTTCTCACTTTATTAATAGACCACCCCTGTCACTGAGGAAGAGCATGTTGTGGTGGGTTTAGCCTGGAGCTAGCATGTGCTGTGACAGCTCAGATAACACAGTAAAGCTAGACTCCAGTTGTTCAGGGTTAGAGGCGAGGACGTTTATCTAATAAACCTCAGCTTGACTCAGTCTGATGGTTGAAATTGTGCTGCATAGAAGAAGCCTGTGGTCCTCCATATCTCTGCCTTTCTTATAGACACAGGCCCAGCACAAGCGTTTTGCTTAAATATGCTCACCATCCCATGGGATTCTTGGCACACAGCTGTTCTGTGCGATAAGTACAAAAAAATCTAATTTTTTCCAATTCACATGCTCCACTTGAGCAGAGACAGTACAGGACATTTTATCAGCCTATTTTTTTTTTTTTTGTATTTTCACAAACCAGTCATTCTGATCAATACTTAATTCTCCATCACTGCTTAGGAAATTGCTCAGAGCATTTTAAACAGACACACAGAATGCAAAGTATACATACTTAACCCTGATTTAGATTTTCCACTAAATAGTTCTTATGTTTTTAAGTTAATTCTCATTGTTGATGTTTTCTGCTGGAGTTCTGCGGTAATGAATAGCCTTTTGGTTGTCTTAATTGCCGATTGATTTTCTTTCAGTTTGTTATTTCTTCAGCGTGTATGATTAGCATTTGGAGGGTTGCAGTACATCAGTCAGAAAGTCCTCAGTCTTGATGTCTAATTTAAATGATTTGCCTCCTAGCAGTGTTATGGATTTTTGCTGCTTGTACGTTAAATACTTTTAAGGTCGTTTGCACTTAAGGACAATAACTGTAACAACAACAGCTATCACTATAAAGTGTTAATAATCATTCTAATTCTGTGAGAATTGGGAAGTCCACAACACGACTATAATGATAACACCACAGAGAAACAATTTTGTTGGAATCACTTTCAGAATATTTTTTTTTTCCAGCTGAAGAATGATAAAAACATTAACAGCCATTCAGAATCCACCTGACAATGTACAGACTGCAGCAAAATTCAGTTGTCAGTTCACCTTTTAAAGGATTAGTTCACTCTAGAATTAAAATTTCCTGACAATTTACTCACCCCCATGTCATCCAAGGTACGTATTAATGTCTTTCTTTCTTCAGTCGAAAAGAAATTAAGGTTTCTGAGAAAAAAACATTCCAGGGGACTTTAACAGGGACCAACGGGTTGAAGGTCCAAATTGCTGTTTCAATGCAGCTTCAAAGGGCTCTACATAATCCCATCTGAGGAATAAGGGTCTTATCTAGAAAAACGGTCATTTTCTTAAAAAAATAAAAATTTATATACTTTTAACCAAAAATGCTCATCTTATAGTCCAAATAACAAGCAAAAAGATGCTTAATAAGCATTACTTATAATAAATGGACATGGCAACCCTTCAAGTTAGCACTTTACGAAGTAGCCTTCCAAACATAAACAAAACAAGATGGCTCTGTTGACAGTGCTTTAGTTAAAATCATCGAACATAACGAGTCTTTGGTCGCTGCAATATTACTTTGGTTAAAAATAGCGGATCCCAAAAGCGTGAGACATGAGAACATTGCTATGGTTTCCATGGTGCCAGTCATCGCAGTTTCAAGAGTGAGTTCAATTCCAGACACATGTAAGGATCCACCCGCCAGCCCAAAAAGCGGAATCCAGCGGCCTGGTTGAAGGTTTAATGCGTATCCGGTCTTTTACTTGCGCTTCTGAATTTATCAGGACTTAGTTTCAATTTTGTCTAGCTCCATGTTCAATCTGACTCCAATTTCACGTGATCAGTTTTTAATTAGAAATATTGCTTTGAAATATTGCCTAACTTTAATGATCACAAATATTAATTTAGATATTTGATTATTCCTGACTCACTATACTTTCAATTATCCGTTCACTGGGGACCTAATGTCTCTTTCAAGTCTCACGCTGGCCTTACGTGGATCTTACGGTCACAAACTCGCCAGTCTGATGCTAGTCAGAGGGTGTAGGTAGACTAATACCTATTTTGCCTGCCGCCTACTGCTTGCTTATGACAAAAAGTGTAATTCACTTAGTACTTTCCCGTACAACTTGCTAACATCGGCGATAGACAGAAATCAGAAGGTCTCCGATGACGTGCCTACTGCTCCTATCATTCACAAGCCTTCAGTTTGATCTATCCTGAACATAGATTTGCGGTAACAAAAGCCTCCTCACAGTTTACTAGTAATAATGATTTTAGGAGAGTTCAGAATAAATCAAATATAACAATTTATTATCAGTCAGGTAAATATGTATTATGCCAATTACATAGACAATTATAAGTGTTATTCTTATGTTTACGTGAACCACAACCTCAAGGTGGATGATTTTACAATTAAACTAATAGACTTCTTACTTGATAAAAGTATAAACGCAGCAAAGGTTTGGTCATGTTGAATTTAGAGAAATGAGGTTAATAAGGTTAAGATCTCATTTTTTTCATACATGTTTTCTTTATATAAAGCTCTCTTATTGAGAGATATGCACGTTTGAATGAAGCTCTCAGGGTGTTGAATTTGAGAAAGCGCATGATGTTTCATAAAATCCCTGTTTTATGCCTGCCTGCCTCGTTATATAAATAAACCAGCCTGTTTATTTGTATTGTGTTCTTGTTTAACACTTACATAGTACATTTAAAGAAGTTGGTTTCAAACGTGGCTTATTCTCCTACAGTACAGCTAAAGGTGTACCTTATGAATATTAATTAGGTGACTCTGATTTAACAGAATATAATTATTATGACGTTGCTTGGCAACCGCACTGGCCTGTCCAGTGACTTCCCTTAATCAATATTCATGAGTCTTTTTAAATTCATAAATTCACGCCGGCTTACCTGAGAAACGCTGCCATCTTGAGTATGAATATTAATCAGGTGACTGATTTACCAGAATATAATTATGCTTAAGCTGCTTGGCAACCGTCCTGGCCTGCCCAGTGGCTTACCTTAATCAATATTCATGAGCCTTTTTAAATTCTTAAATTCAGGCCGATTTAACTGAGAAACGCTGCTATCTCGTGGCCACAGCAGGCAGTACTAGTGGTTGTGAAGTTGACCCACATATTATTAATGGTGCATTCAGTTTAGCTAGCATTAGCATTCTTCCTGTACTAGACGCAGTATGACTTTCTCTTGAGTTTTATAAAATTGCAATGATACTTGTGAGTTTTAGTGAGCGGTTAACATGATAATTAGATATCTTACCTGTCTAACACAAAAAAGAAGCAAATTTTCACTACTCCGGATTGTTCAGCATCAAAGCATTCCACCGTGTTACTACCACATGTTTATGCTGGTTTTGCCTGTCTTTTAGCTTCAAAGCTGCTTCTTCGGCTGTACAGATACTGTTTTTCCCCTTGTGTTTGATGGTAAAGCAGGATAACAAGTTTATTCCATTGTCTAATTTCATTACGGTGCGCTACTAGCGTGTGTGCAGAGGCAGCAGCCAATGAGCGCAAGGATTCTTTATGACATTTAGCGAAATGCGTGGGTCGTGACTAGGGATGGGCGATACCACTTATTTTGTTTTCGATATCGATACTTTTAAAGGCCAGTGTCGTCGATGTCAATATGATACTTCTAAACTGAACTTTTCAATTATGAATTTATTAAATTATTAAATTACTATGAGTAAAAAATGGGTAATTACCTACTTAACTTTATATTTAAAACACGTCAACGTTCAATACGCTTTAATGGTTAAAGCTGCAGTCCATAAGTTTTGCCTCTTTGTCGCCATCTCTGTTTGAAAACCTGCAATTGCAGCTGTGTGCGGAATTATCTAGCTTGCGTGGGTTGTGCGACGGCATGGCTCCAGCGCGGATGAATCTAATGTTTTGAGGAGTATGTGTGGCAGTCAGTCACCGCACGGGTGTGGATATTGTACTTTGCACTCACAGATTCTAGCCTACGTCTTGGAATATATGACTCAAATAAGCATTTTCAGCATTTTTCAGCATTTTCTGTCCACTGATAAGAATTGTTCTGGGCTGCATTCCCAAAAGCATTTAAGGGGTCATATGATGCTATTTCAATTTTTCCTTTCTCTTTGGAGTGTTACAAGCTCTTGGTGCATAAAGCAGATCTGTAAAGTTACAAAGACTAAAGTCTCAAATCCAAAGAGATATTCTTTATAAAAGTTAAGAGTCAACCACGCCTTTCCGCCATCTAACACAACAAATGGCTGCACAGCACATTCTGATAGTGCTGCAAAAAACTGTCGAACCAACACCACAAACGTCTCGTAGTCTCCCCCCCGTGCTTGATCCAACCCAGAGTTGAAATATAATCGAAAATACAAACTACACCCATCAATCACTAGGCGGCAGTCTCGCAGTCTCATATCTGTGAAGAACTGACAATTTCCTTCCACAAAACTTGTAAGTCCGTGAACCCCCATGATGCCACAGAAATGCTGCAAGGAAAACAGCAATGTTATTGCTTGTTTTTGCTGGAAATGTAATGAACCAATACAATTATTTTTTATGCATATACCAGACAAAACAAATACCTTCTAACAGGATCTGATAGAGACTGGAATAAAGATTTCTGGCGTATAGATTCAGTCTAACATTTTGGCATAGTCGGCATGAACATTACTATTTAATCACTTGATTACATGTGACCTACTTCAGCTACTGTCTGGTAATGTGTCCTTTGGCCTACAATCCCTAATATTGCAGAATGTAGACATATTTACCTGAATTTGGTCTATTATAAAATATGTATAAAGTCATATGAAAAAGAAAGAACACCCTATTGAATTCCATGGTTTTCTGTATCAGGACATAATAAAAAAAAATCTAGTCCTTGGCAGGTCTTAAAATTTGGAAAATAAAACCTCAGATTGGACAACAACACATGACATATCACACCGTTTCATTTATTTAACAAAAACTAGGCTAAAATGGAAAAGCCATGGGTGACAAGCTATCCTTACTGTTAGCATAAGAAATAAGAGGGTAAGGTCCGGCACTGTTAATCAAATACCTTTGATTAACTGATCATCAGCAAGTGTGAGCACCTCTATAAAAGTTTTGGCAGTTTGCTGGTCTTGCATCTGAACAAACCATAAGACTTCTAGAACACTGTCCTTTGAACAGACGAGACCAAAGTGCAGATGTTCGGCCGTAATGCACGGCTCCTTGTTTGGTGAAAGCCAAAAAAAGCATTTCAGCACAAACACCTCATACCAAAAGTCACACATGCTGGTGGAGCCGTGGAGGG